CGCCAGCAAAAAAGTGCTGTGTATGGTGTCTGCATGAAGTCGGAACGGTGCCTGATTAAGCCAGGGGTTCTCGAAAGAAACGATGACAATGGGAAGTGTACAGAAAGTCAGCAGTTTGGTTAATAACAAACGAAAAACTTGATAAGGGTCTGAATGTCAATTTGGACAGTACGCAAACCTCCCGAAAACTACACAGATAGCATCCCTTGGCCAGGCAGGGTTGTATAGGTTACTCTTCTTGATAAAAGTGCCTCTGCTAAAAGAAGCTGTATGAACTCAGCATCTTCGTCTTTAACGCTAAATCAATCCAGTTCAAGCTGGGCACTGCCGTCTTTAAATCCCCTTCGATGCCCGCCCTCTAAAGCTCACTCTAAAGGCAACCATATACCATCAACGAAACACAAGCCGGTGTAAACAGTGAGACTGTCTCCTGGTAAATGTGTTCCCCCCGGACATTGTTACAGAAACAAGCTATCTTTCTTTAAAAAGCTAGCAATCCGGATCCCGCACTGGTAAAAGTTTCTGAGTAATCCTGTTTCCCTGCCCCAAAATAACCCCCCCCCCGAGAAATGTGTCCTTCGTGTAACGTCAAAAGTCTAGCTCCCAAACCCTGATTACAACTGTTACAGTACAACTGTATAGACAGACACCTTACTTTTTCTGGAATGCTCGTTACGTTAAAGCACGGCGATTGGATGGGTGGGGGCCTATCCTGAGAGCAGTATCCATGGCGACCGAGTCGCGCGCTCACAAAGTGTGTCTGAATTTACTGTGCTTGCATGGCAAGCGGCAGTGACTTGAAGCGAACAGGGACGCTATTAACTTAAGGTAGTTTCAACATTGTTGGCACGCTGTGGCGCGGCGAGATGGCATGATGCCAGTGTAGAGATTTCCGCGGTCGTTTTCATTCCTCTATAAGTCAGAGCTACACCATGCCGCGCCGCAAGACTGAGAATTACTGCGTGTGCGAGAAGTCTGCAAAATACCGATTGCTCCCTTTTTTGCAGAAACATAGCTTGGTTATTTTTAAGTCTCGTAACTGCCCTTATACAACTTGACGAAGGGCTAAGAAATCTTACGTTCAGTATTTGGTGCAGACTGAATCCATCAATCAAGTTTTTAGGATTGGCCAAAAAAATCACGTTTGTTACTTCTTTCTAATGGTTTTTAAATTACAATTCATTTATTTAAACGTAATCATTTACTAACTCCAAATTAGCAACCCCAAAATGTCCAAACCCCAAAACAAACCCACTCGGGGATGTAGTTGAATTAAAATATAAATACAATTCGAAACTGAGACTTACCAAAAGCAGAAAAGGCACGGTAGGGGGCCTAGTGCAGACTTAGAAATACAGCATGTTTCATCAACCATTTAAGACCAGCCAGGTGATTTCGACCAATAGGAACGGAGTATTAATGAATATCTCTTAGGACAGAATCTGCTCCAATGTTCAGTAAATTGTCACTTATTTCACTTTCCTGTCTTTTTTGTGTGTTTTAGTGTCTTTCCTGAATTAATATAGGCCTGCCAGTCTTACACACTATCATTATTGTAACCGGACGTGGATTACTAGGCCGCCCCTGGTGGTGGGGTGGTAGGTCAATCCTCTAGTATTGGATAAGGCACCAAGAATACCCCCCCCCCCTGGATGGGTTGAACACCGAATATGTTATCAAGTATTAATGCTTAGATTCATTGGTCTCATCTCAGCACTTGAGGTTGCACCTCAAAACAAACCCTGTATGTAAAATGATTTCATAGACGTAACTGTTCAAGCTGAAGAAATGTTGCACACAAAGTACAACACAGTCACACGAATAGTTCAATTATTCTCATAGTTATTAAAGTGGTCTTGCAAAACATACAACTGAAATATAACATATGCACTGTAGTAAATTACCCCGGTATGGTTGCTCAAACGGTGATGAGTTGCTGGCAATGGCCTAAGCATGCAAGCAATTTAGCCCCCCCCCCGAACTCTCGGGCTGCCGTCAAAACACAATGCATTACATCCAAGTACGTGCATATAAAAACGACGCATTAAACAAATATTCATCAGCATGTGTAGTTGCACGGGGAGTGTACATTTTATCAATTCTAGAAAGAAGCCTACGCTGAACATGTAGACCTTTGACCTATACGTGACTGAATGTAAACAACCACCACGTGTAGACCGCCTTGCCTACGCTGATCGCATCCTACGGGCAGCTTCAACCACGAGCGAGGGCACGTGAGAACGCTGTATACTTGACTAGTTTATTTTGAATAGGTAGATCACCATCACAACACGATGCAGCATTATCATCACAACACATCCTGCACAATCGTGACATCTCTGGACAAAAGTCCACAAGTTTAACCACGGCGAATGTTCGTCATGCCCCACTGACATGCAAAGACTTGTAGTCCTACGAACGCGCTGTGCTATAAGAAACGGCGCATACGTCATACACGAGGTCTACCAGTACCATGCACAGTATGTACAGCGTAATGCAACGTGACAGGTATTGTTTATACGTAACGTGTGAGGCATGAAATCTATTGCGAAGGAATCCCACAAATACGATTAAGAAAACAATCCCAAAATGAATTAAAATGGCACTAGCCTCCGGTTTATTATCAACTACTATACTCTATGGCGATCAGTGGTTAAGATGAAACAAGTTTAGTGAGGGCACATAACGTAGAAAAGGTACTGAAAGCGAGAAATTTGAGGCAACTTTCTTACCTGGACGTTGCTCAGTTCGCAGCGGCGATAAAGACCAAAGATTATATAGCGCCGCATAGCGGCGCTATCGTATCTACGCGACGCTACACGATCTTTGATAAAGACGCCAGAGTTCGAGAACAACTAACTCCCATAGGTACATCCATAAAGCTGTGGCTAAACATATTGTTCCGCCATTCATAAAAACGCACAGTGTAATTACCCTCAACCATTCCATCCACTAGAATCAGCATTGATTATCAACGAAACAGTATTTATAAATTAGTAATTTACCTTCGAGGATTAATAAAGAAGTATAACCTTGTTGAAGGAATGAAATGTGAACTCAGAGGACTTTTTGTTGCAGTGGATGTTGAGGTTCTGTCCGCGCAGGTCACAATGTGGTTTGCGGCTGCATAATTATCAGCTTTGCGCTGACGGAACTACAGGCCACTACATCATGGAAATGATAAAGGCTTATTATTCGCAACAGAATCTAACGTACTAATGACAATTACTCAAACGATTCTGATGAAATCAGCTAAAACATGCTACTGTACACATTATGGAGGTTGCTAAGTTCACACAAAATGTCCACGATAAATCTTCGATCTGTTTTCTCTAAAACGTACTTGCACAAAACATACACTAAATATACACTGATGCACCTTACTATTGTTACATATTTTGCTATGCCCAACTACTCTTATAATGTACAATACGAAAATAAATGCATTGAAATTCATTTTCTATGCATGACAAAACGTGGTACACTTGGTTGCTTATTTTCATACATTAATTTATTCTAAAATTCAAATAACCTATGTAGACATTATGAAGCTAAAGTGGTGTCATTTTCTATTTCTGTTGTGTGAGATCTGTTAAAAAGTGTTTACTTCAGAAATTGATCCCGTCACTGGTGACCCCTATTGTTCGGTTGAGCCACTATAGGGGGCGTTGCGTTTTTTGTTCACAGAGCGGTCTCTTCCGTCTGCAGATGTGACATCGAACCCACTCCAGCGTCGGTGCTGTTCCCCTTCGCCCCACATCGCCCGCTCACTGTGAGTGCCCCTAGGCCCTCCAGCCGCCTCGGTGCCTCGGGCGGTCGAGCCGGTCTCGCGGCGCACAAGCAACGGCGCCAACACGCCACCAGCTTGGCCCTCCACAGCTCTCTCGCGCGAGAGTTGCAGAAACTGACGAAGACGAGGAGACCCTGGAAGGAGCCCAAGACGCAGAAGATGTACGTTAAAGCTGCTGACCCGGTGGCGGTTGCTAGGAAACCGAACAGCCAAAATATACCCATCAAACTGGAGATCTGGAAATTAAAACAAGAACACTCAAAAAATACACATAAAACACTAAAATATGCGAATTTATGGTTAGACGTCAGAATAAATGTACAATCGACTAAAATTAGGTTTAACATGTACATCCCTATTTGGAAACGAAAAACACACACTGCAGCTGGTCTATTTAATGGGTCCTAACTTCCCTTCCTTTCATAAGTAAAAAGGCTCGATAATGTAGCCTCCTCAGAAGAGTCATAAAAATGCACACAGCATAAAAATATTTATCCACCCCAAATAATGTTAGCCTCTTCCTAGGCTCAACGGAGGTCGTTCTGTATTTTGAGACCACGAGCCTCTGTTTTCACACTAGCAAGAAGCTGTAAACATCCATACTTACTTCTTGGTTGTTAACACAATAATCTTCTTCCGATTATCGGGTGATTTTATTGCATTTTTCGCATCAAAGATACTGTATGAATTGTATATTCAGTGGAAATGAAACAAGAGATGTTATGAGCTGTATACGGTAATATGCATAAATTAATTATACAATTGATATATCGTCTCCAAAGCAAGAGACTTCGTGACAAAAGGAAACCACTGCCCTTTGTACAATGTAATTCTGTGTACAAAGTCAATGGTAAATTTTACACCATACTTCACCCTGCCTCCTAAAATTCTTCATTGAGAGAAACGCCATGTCCAATTTTCTTAAATTTGGTGTCAAAATGAGGCTGGAAAAAAGTTGTCATAAAGTATTAGCATGCAGAAATTAATCCCGGAAATGCTATAAGCAAAATCAACGGGGGTTGGAATCTGTCCCCCCCCCCGGCTCTTTGTGAGTTTAACCCATGGAATGTATACCCCGCGTAACTGGGCCGGGAAAGATTTAAATCTAGAAAGGTTTATTAATTAATATAGTCACTGTACATAAAAACGTTGGTGATAATTTGATCAATTCTGTCTCTGGATAAGATATTTTCGACATACAACTCACTTTCGAGTCACACTGGGATGGAATTGAAATCAATGCCCTAAAGGCTGGTTCGTGCTTGGCGCAAAAGTGAAGTCAAATGCGAATTTGTGACGTCAGATCAAATGTTTCCACTGCCAATTCGAAAAGGGTTAACACATTCCAACTCGTGCGAAATTTTATTGCAAATTTTTCGTGACGTCAAATTCACATCGCTTTCACATTCGCCTGCGGTGTGAATCGGCCTTCCAGATGTTCATACCTTAAGATAGATGGGTAGATCCTCCATTGCCTGTCTCATGATTGATTTCTTGCCCTTGACTGACCGCGTTTTCTTCCCGTTCATTCTAATACCACGAATGGTGAGGGAGAACAACACGAAGTTGATGACCACGCACGCCCCCAGCGGCAGTGCAAACGCGTAGAGCACTTGTTCAGGCTTGGAGATCCAGCAGGCGTCCTTCCGCCGGTAACTGAACAACGCAATGTCGCACGAGCGGCATGCCAAATCCAGGGCGAGGCAGGTGACGCTGATACCGCACGGCACACCGTAAGCGTACAGGTAGGAGAGAAGGAGTTGTTTCCGGGTAATTCTACGGTTTCGAAGGATTACGACTGTCCCCGTAAAGGCCCCGTACATGCCCACCGCGAGGACATTTGTCCAGGTTGACACCGCCAGCCAGAAAACGTGCCCTGCAAAGGCGACTGCGGTGCAGACTACATCATTTGCCATAGCCAAGTTACTGGACAGGAACAAGGCACTGGCTAGAACCAACGAAGCAGTGAGGTTCAATAACGGTATACGCAAGTGGTTACGAAGGCTTTGAAAGACCAAATACGTTACGAAGATGATTGCAGTTGCGATCGTCGACAAGGACAATCCGATCAACGTTATAAGCCCTTGAGCAACATGATCTGATGTCCAATGAGGAGTCCTGTCAAAGAATGAACAGATCGCTATGCTGCCGTTGCGAAGGATTGAAAAATTTCCCGGTGAGACTATGTATCCAGTCGGGAGATGTATTAATGCGACGTTGTATGATTCAGGGACAGGTCGAAAGGTTGACGCCTCCCAAATGGTGTGGGCACACGAGAGCAGTGGGCCATCACACAATTGCACACTCACGCCAAGCTTCTCAAGATTTTCAACGGATGGATGCCCGACGTAGTTCACAAAGAATATTGCCTGATGATCCGAGTACCAGGCGTTATTGACTTGGATAAAACCAAGTGAGGAGTGTGGCTGTGGCGGGAAAAGGTCAGTTATGTTATTTGCCTTTCTGTCACAGCTTCCCATATTCCGGTTGCTGCATGCAGTCGAATAACATCTGAGAAGCGAAACGGATATGACAATGGTTTTGCCATCAAGCGAAAGGCATTTTTGGAAACGACTCTGAGAAAAGTTAAAAAGAACATGATCAAGTGTCTTTTCGAGGCCATCATAAGATGGCATGGTTTGGTTCAGAGAAAAATCTTCCCTCCCAAGTGTCAGGGCAAAAGAGGTGATATTGACGTCGTTACGATGGCATCTTGAAACTGACCCTCCTGGGCTGGTTTCGTGGCTCTGAGACCTGCCCAACAAGAGTTCGCTCGCAACTTGAAGAAAGGACCCGAACAGGCACGTGCTGATCTCGCCAGCACGGCCACAGTCAATTTCACCCTCGATTTTCGCCTCTACCAGGAATTCAAAAACTGACCGCAGAGTAGAATTGCCGCCAATTCCGGGCTCGTCTTGCGGAATGTCCTGTGCCAAACACTCTCCGTTATCAAGCTCGTAACCACTGGCGCATGACAAGACTCGGCAACGTCCAGCGAAGGGATCGAACACAAAGTCGGGTGGACAGTTTGAGGGCAAAGTGACATCGTCCACTTGAGCGGTACCACTTTGAAAATCGATGAGAATCGACAACGACGGTACAGGTAACCATATGTCACCGATATTGCCCAACAGTTGCATGCACGAGAAGATCACCGATTCCTGTGTGACATCAACGCCGTTGGCCAAGGCGCAATGCGGGTTCTTGTACACATGTTGCGGGGACGGTCCATCAGAATCGACTATCACGGACATGTACGAGGTGCAAGCGTTGCAGAGAGACGGGTTTTCAATTTCCGGACTGCACTTCTCGACCATATCAAGAAAGCAGTCCCTTGCCCCGGCGCCCTGGCGTGGAGCGGACACCAGTCGGCAGGGGGAGTTTGGGTTCTGGCCAAAGTCCAACGTGTAGTTGGTGCCAACCCCTGCCCCACGCAGTTCTTCCAGCTTGGCGTCTAGCTGGTTCTGCAAGTCACAGGAAATCTCCGTAGCCCACGGCTGCAGAACGCGGCGATCTTCGCCGTTGCACAGGGCACAGTACACGTTTTTATACGAGATCCCCCGAGGTCCATACACCGGGAGCTTCAGAATAGGGTCATCTTTTGGCGGGTTCTCACAGAGTTGACGAACAGTCCGGGACGTGTTTTTTGGGCAGAAGCTGTTCAACCAATACCCAAGGCGCACCTGTCGACGAGGCTTGTTCGTGCCGACGAAGGTGCACTGAAAGTAGTGCCGGGAAAGACCCGCAGAGAACAAATATTCCCCCAGGCTGCCAGATTCAACCCCACCGTCCCCTCCGCTGTCACCTCTGTCAATTTCATCACTCTCACTGTCGCAACTAACGTTTGGAATGGAACCAACACCTTCGACCCTCCCCCCATTCGGGCCGCCCTCTTCACCTGGGAGCGGCGGTGGCAACCCCTCGGACTCTCCTTGGTAGTCGTAGCAGCAGTCGCCGAAGAAGTCGCAGGCGTCGTCACAATAACATAAAGCTATGGCATCCTTGGGCCTCGCTGGAGAATTCAATTTTTCCTGACATAGGTGGCCTATCGTGCACACTGGGACGGCGTCTACGCTACAGGATGGTCGAATCATCGTAACTACAAAACAAAGCATGAAAGACGCACGACATTTGGATCTTCTCCATTCAGAGACTGTAAAATACTACTAAAAAGCGCCTAACAAAATTTGCATCTTTGATTCAAACAAATGGCATTCTATTCGTAATTGGAAATCATTAATCTTCATATTGCTTGGAAGTGTAACGATGACAAAGCCACGTTGTCTGATAGTCTTTACTCCTTCCCCCTTTTTACTCGGGCACAAAATCGCACCAACACATTACGTGCTTTTGCGCATCCGCATCTGTCAGCGCTTCCTGTTTTGCCTGGAAATCTCACCTGGAAGTTTGACAGGCTGAAGAATTATTTCATTTGTTTGAAAAGTACAACCAGCAACACATTCGACTTCAGAAATTTCTTCGTGTTACGTAAGAAGGCATCCTGCCTTGAGGTTAATAATATGGCACAGCAGAAGGTCCACGCGAGGCACTTCTTTCCCTCTTTACCATCACCCCTTGAGAATGCGACTTTGTGTTTCAATTATTATTTTTTTCCCTGTTAATGCTAATATTCCCTGAGCAAAGTGATTACGTATTTTCGAGCGCAACAAACTGCCGGATTCATATTCCTTTGTCCAAGATGTCCTCTTCTTTGACGATTCCTTAATGTGGAAGTTCACGTCTCTGGCAATGTGCAAACCTTATGGGAGCCATTTCTGCAAGTATTTTTCCTGTATCTACGGAACAGTTTCGCGTACGCGCGCGCACTGGCACAAATTTGTGCAGGAAATTGGAGGGGATGGGAGATGGGAGGGGGATGACTTGCCCTGCCATGAAAATTTTAAAAGTGGGGAGGAGGCCATCATATGACTCTATATAGAGATCGCTGTTCGTGATATGGATGCACATCTGTAATAAGTATTCAAAATGGCATACTTATGGCTTTTTAAAAATATCGTTTTCCTTTTTGGGTGATATGGAATTCATGTCAGTCATTGAAAGGCTGAAAAATTGTTCCCAATCCGCTCTAATTATGTGCTCACTACAAAAAGGGGGTGATGATTCAATAGCCCATTCCCGCCACCTCGAAAAATGTGTGGGGGATGCACAGTATACCGCTCATCCCCCGAGATTTACGACCATGTGTATACGTGACAGTTTCAGAAACTTTCAGCTTGATGGTTTCCCTGGCACGCTGTCCACCTCGATTGAACTTGGAAGTTCACGTGCCTTTATAAACATCAACGTCAAACCATTTGCAGGTGCATCCATTACATTTGACGGGTGCCTGCTGCGTCTTACTGCTCCCACTTACAATGTGATTGATGGTAATTACTGCGAAAAGAAAACCGTTTTGGGAACCTGTTGATTACAAACTTAATGAGTGCGCAAATCCTGCCCAAATCAGAGGTATACATGCCCATTATAGTTTTGTTTGGCAAAATGGCTCTTGTTTTTGAGATGTACGATAAAGTAATCGTCTATATATGTCGACAAATTGAAATGACAATGCTGCATTTGAAACTATTGGAGTGAACGGCCTGGATGTGATTTCTTTACAAAAATGGAAAGGCGACTCCCCTGAATGAGATTATGGTAAGGGGATTATCAAATATCACATCCACACCACCAAAAATCACATGAGTCAGAAATAGCAACCAGGATTATATCATTAGAGTCCAATATTACAACACTTGTTTCCAAAATCACATTTACTGTCCGGGCACCTGACCAAAATCACATCATCCCAGATGTGATTTCCGGCTCTGATGTGATTTTAGATGATGCCTGCGTAAATCACATTTCATCTCCAATATCACATCCTCCCAAATCATCTTTCCACTTTACGGTCGTTTAATGGATTTGGTCAAAGTGTCCAGTTTTTTTTTATTTTTGAGCAAGCGCCTTTTGGGATTACAACTGCCGACCCCTTTGTTTTCTTCACTGAAAGAAGGGATGATATAATATTCAAAATACGTACGAAGACGGTCATTATTTTACGGTGACTAAAGAACATATGATCGATGAAATCACTCTGGGATTCGACCCCAAGATGATGGCATTTGAGAATTTGACATGTAGATCATGGAAAAATAGAAGGTATGGCGCGCCTAAGTGATAATTCAAATTAACTCGGTCCCCTTTGATTACTTTAGATATCTCCAATTATTTTAGGATATCCTTAATCGTTTCAAGATATGCTCCCATAACTTTTGCCCCTTAAATAGCCTTGGATCGATGATTTTGAAATATCTTGAAACTGATTTCTAGATGTTTCCAAATCTTCTCAAGATACCTTAAAATAATAAAAAAAATAGCACTTTAATTGCCTAATGTTACTTCGACGCACCATAGAAAGGTCTCGTGTGAATGAGGAGTGCTTATAGCCCTTGAGTGCACATACATTCGTGTGATTTAATCAACGCAACCATTGGGGATGCCAAAGCCCGATCACATCCTTTGACAACCATTAGCAGCGGAAGTAACAGCGTTGCAAAGTGACAGCGTCCAATTCATCATGATGGGCAGCGAAAAGCAGAGAGGATGGATTTTGTTGACCTGGCATCCTGGACAAGTGGAGAGCATATTGAGAATGTACCCCAGTCATCACCAGTTATTCAGTTAGGGCTTACCGATGCGGATTGCGGTGAAAGAAACATGTGTCATGAGCGTCCTGTGGGTGGGGATGGTGGGGAAAGTTCCCGAGTGCTGGTATTTTGTCTGGATACTTGTGTTTTTGGCAAACGCGATTTGTATGTGTCTATTAACTCTGGAAGAATTTGAAGAATGAAACAGGAAAAAGAGTGGGAAAACAAAAGAAATGAAAAAGATTAATGGGGATTAAAAGCACTTATTTGACTGAAAAATTCTAAAATTCACCCATTCCAGCTGTTTACATATATAATATGTATCATATTTCATATTTACCTGAAGAGTGCTTCTTCCCCTTGGAAATCCCCCCAATTGGTCTCCCTGGGAAAATCCTGGCTACGCCCATGGACTTGCACAGACGGCTATTCTTTAAAGAATTCTTGAGTGGGGACTTGTTTCCAAGTCCTCAGACGGCCTCATGTACAAATGTAATAGAGCAAGTCAAACAAAAAACAAGAGCAACACAAGGAATAAAACAGGTTCTCGGTGGTGGAGTAACGCCCATCACAAAATCATCCTTGCTTGTCAAAGTACTTTTCAAACGAAAAACACTCCGACCAACTTTTCAGAGACATCCCCTTTTTTCACTTTGAAGGTGGGATGGTTGTTGAACTTTTTGGGAAGCACGGGTGGGGGAGGGCAAATGACTGCCATCAAATGTTGGAGAGATATTTAGATCAAATACCATCGTTATAGATTATAAGACTCACAAGTGAGGAGATGAAATCGAATGAAATCAAATCATAACGCGCCAATTAAGTAGACAATGGTGCTTGCATATACACGAATGGAGATGGAAATACAGCTGACATACAAGAAACTACGGTTCAACTAATATCACGTGAGGTACATCAACTATAAACAACTTTTACCGCTTACTTAATCGGGCCAACTTGACGAAAGAGGGTTTCAGCTTTTGTCCTTTTGTAAGTCATCCTCGAGTACATTGGTTGAAATTACATCAAGTAACGCTGATGAAGTTAGATTCACCCTGAAGATACAATTACAACGACGGCACATTTTTTCAACTGCGTCACTTTAGCTGTGGTTTTGGATGATCTTTTCCTTAAACCCTATATGATAGTTTGCATTACTACCGTGACGTCGCTATAAACTGAAAACTTGTATATATTGAAGTGAGTTCAACAAGGGAATTACAACAAAACAAACAAAAGTAAACTTACTGTCATTGCTAGCCACAGCAAAGACCGTAAGGCTCGCACAGAAGACCGCAAACTTCAGTGGCGAAGTTCTCCCCATGCTGCTCAGTTGATTGTTGGTCGTCACTGTTGCGCGTTGCTCACGAGCTCACTGTTCTTGTTTGGCAAAAACCGAAATGCTCGCACGGTCTGTCACGTGTATTCAATCACGTGACCCAACTGCATCCAATCGAAGATCTTGCTTCCCCAAAGTTGGTGGGGTATAAGGGGTAGGTATGATTATAACATTATGAGTACGAAATAATCCACGTGGGCTGCTTATGCAGTTTTTACACTTCAGGTAATTTTTTTGGCCAGATCTGGACAATTAGGTCCCAGACTGCAGGAAGGACGCTTAGGACATTTCGAAATTGATTGGGATGTCGTCAAATTACCGAACAAAGGCATACGCCGACGAAGGGCGTTGTTGTCACCGACTTCTGGCTTTTTAAAACCCTACGCTATTGACAAAACGTTGCCAGACTTGACTAAGTCAAGATCCTTCGTGACTTTGTCAGCGTTTATGCTTAGGACATGAAGGCTGCGTGGCGTTACTTGCTTTTGTCCACTTAGTACTGCAAGTTGAGAAATCCCCACTTGACGAATCTGCCAACCGTTTGTACACAGTGAATTAGCTAATCTGCCAAAAAAGGGAGCAGCCAATCAGATTGCTGGACTTTTTTTCATCGTTCATACCGAGATCCACAAGTATACTTTGATTGGTGGAAACTCTGTGTAGGCCTACATTGTGCAAGATCATGTCGTTCATATGCCAATATGAAGAACTACATATCAGCGACAGGGGTCTGATTGGTTCATTCTCATCGCTTCCCTCCATGCAATATGTACCACAGTGACGCCGCTGCGTGCACCAGAGAGGAAGTAACTCTTTAGGCCTACATTATTGAAACGGTCCCCCTTGTGCAGATAGTCAGGCTATAGTAATATTTCGTTCTATACAATTAACTGGATTTTTAAAAATTTTCTGCAAGATATGAATAATACCAACAATCGTCTCGCGTGAATTTATCAATTATTTCCATTTAACAAATTCCAACACACATTGAAATGTTTTTAGGACTCTTTGTGGTGACCTATTACAGCACTGCAATGAGAATCAGATATGTAACGGTTGAGGATTACTAAATTAACATTCCCTTACAAAGGTGGCGTATTAACTGTTCTTTACCCCAAACTGATAACTCAACCAAACTTTTGTACCTTGCTATTTCGTTAGTTTTCATTGCTCTCTTCTTTTGCTGATTTTCTGACTTTTGAAGCCTTTTTCAACTACAAATAAAACAGTGACATTTTAAATGAAATATTAAAATGTTACCATTATCCAGTTAATTTATTGCTTCTCCACATTTTATACGAAGCAGAATGATAGTCCAAAAATTGGAGCATGTTTTCTTGGGGAAAAAGTTTAAGAAAAAACAAAAACTGAACGTCTACTCTAATCTAATTAATTTTAAAATAGAACGCGTTATGAAACACATAATCATATTTCCTAAAACAAAACGAAAAGCTTTAAACCTTATGGTTTTTACGATTCAAATGCATCTACCCCTACGAAGCTGTAACAGGGACATTATGAAAAACAACATTCTTTCGCCTCGAGCTAACTCGTACCGGTACGTATGACTTTTAAGTCGTACGTACGACATTTAAATCACAACCCATACGTACGGGTTACATATCGCACGTACGACTTATATCTCGTACGTATGACTTATAAGTCATACGTACCAGTTAGTTCAAGAAGGAAAGAAGTTTTCACCAAGTCCCTTAATCCCCGACCGTCAAACGACAATATAGGCTTACCCGAGCGACATTCCGCCAATGATAACGTAGGTAGTTGGGCTAATTTACTTAACTGCCGAGCCCAAAACAAGTCACCTCTAGAGTACCAGCCACTTGCATTATTATGCACATGTCACTCACCGAAACCATGTTTACTTTGCATATAAAGTCAATTTCCTGCTGCTAACCTATGAACTCGTCTCACCACTCTCATCGCACACTCTGTATGCTTTTCCAGGCACTTTATATGTCAGAGCTCGCCGTTTTACCACTGGCGGCCCAAAGGAACAAAAGATTTGAAGAATAATTTTTAAAAAGGTGGATCCAGCCTCACGGCATGATTGCCTTCGATTTGAAAAAAAAAATTGTTCAGATTAAAGCGGAAAACGTTGTAGTTTGGAGATGGACATTTTTATAACTTTCAACATTACACTACTGCTAATCTGCACTGGTCCCACTTCCAGAGTCGCTTGAATCCCCACCAGAGCCACTAGTCTTGTCATCATCAGCACCATGACCCTTCTCAGCACTGTAACTACTGCCCTTGTCACCACTATTGTTCACCTTTCGCCACCGTCTGAGTGATCTTGGCTTCTTTTAGTTTGATCACCTTCGTCATTAGCATCATCACCACCATCATCAATGCAACGATCAGAAGCCCCTTTCCCACCATCACCAGCCTTTTCACCACTGTCACCAATCTCTTCACCATTTTCACATCTAGAAGTAACATCACCACTGCTTCTAACCTCAGCACCATCCTCCATATTAATACCAAAAACATCACCACCACTGCCGCTGGCACTATCGTCAGCCCCATTGTCACCCTCTTCTTCACCTGGTTTGTCACCAACTATAAGCACGGTTTCCACACCGGGCAGTGAAATCCCTGGCCCGGGCATGAGGCCATTCTCCTCCATTGCTTTCTTCTTCTTCTGCCTTGGTTTCTCCGGGCATTGGCAGGCTTTGTCGTTCACTTCCTCGTAAGGTGGGAGAGGTCGGGCAGTGTAAGCGTAGTCATCGGCGTCAGGCACAAAGGCAGGGTTAAGGACGTCTCGCCGATACACCTCCATGTCTACCTCCTCAACTAACGAGTCGGTGTCGTGATAGCGGTTGCGACCCCATGCCCATTTTTTCATGAATTTAAACCTGAAACAGCATCCACGTCCTTTATCAGTGCAATATACATAAGGATATCAAATATTACACTATAACAAGTAAATCAACTGCTGACAATGAATATCAATAGGATGCTATCATAATCATATACGCCTGCATAACTGATGATATTGAACCTTGTGGGTCTCCAAATATATAAAAAATGAAATTTCCAGGAATAACAATAATAACGATGACAATGTCCTACATCGCCATCTGTCGTTCATTTTTATAAATGCAGCAAATAATTACATCAGTCTGTCTTATCGGTACATCAATTCCCACTCACCTGGCGAGTATGGAGGAAAGGGAACGAAGGGGCCACGCCCCCATAAAGGAACATGGTCAAAGATTTGAATTTGAATAAGATGGTCCAGTAAGATTGCGCCTTTCACTTTCTAGTGATCAACAGTATCATTTACATGCGCTATTTCTCCTACTCGAGGCATCCAACGACCCCCATTTTATCCCACCATGCAATGCGGTAAACACAGTGATACGTCATCAGTACATAGGGCTGATGAATAATTAAAACTCGGAAGTCTGTTCACAGACAACTGTTAAAGGGCCAATAGGGAGACAGGGAAATCAAAAGACACAACTCACTTGCCAAACTCCTCCCCATCTCGCATAGTCTCCGGGAGCTTCTCGCCTTTGGTTTCCGGCAGTGGGATGAGTAGCAGGCCCGCTATCAACGCCACTGTGCCGAAGACGATCAGGTGAAGGTCGTCGGTGATGTTCTCGTCCTTGGCCAAGTTCAGGATGAGCGGGGCAACGATGCTGCCCACCCGGGCAGTCATGGAGCACAGCCCAATCGCAACGGTCCTTTCAAGAGACGCCAAGAATTTAACCAATCTGGGCATTTCTCCCATGCACTTTCAGTCCAACTCACCTTATCAGCAATCTACACTGCCTCTGTAACGGGAGACTCTGTGTACAGTCCAGTATAATTACTGACAAACTATAATTGAATGTCAGTACAAAGCAATTCACAATGTTAAAAAGGATGTCCGTTGGCTATGAAAATAATAAATAATAAAATTGTATAGCTAATAAATTAGAGACCCCCCCAAAAAGAAGCAAATGTGCATTTTGAGGTAAACCGACCAATGTCACAGTTTCTCCAACCAAAACAGCGGTTGAAGTTTTCATTAAAAAAAAGGTGTATTCGTAATTAATTTATTGGGAAATCAAAGACTGGTGCTTGAAAAAGTGCTTAAAAAGACACAAGAACGCGGGCATGTTTGGAATACAATTAGCACCATCATGATTGGCTGCTGCTGGTTCATGGCTCGTGGTAACCCACAGGTTTTTCATTTTAATGAAACAGGACGATGAAAAGGCGCGATTGCACAGACCAAACAACTGATTTTACTGCTCTGTAATTATTGACTTTGAGATCTAATTTAGAACCTTTGTTATGGAAATTATAATCCACCTGCTCTGATATCAAATGAAACATCCTTGCAATGCTATACCTTATCAGTTAACGAATAGGTATAGGCATTCCGGTCCAGAAAGGTGTAAAGCTGACAGTGTGGAAAGCTGACAGCGTGAACAGTATATGATGTGGATAGAAGGTAGTGTTGAAAGTGAATTTTGTGAATGGAAGATCGTGTTGGCAGTGACTCGTGTTGTGAATAGTGAGGATAGTGAATTGTATGGATAGTGAATTGTGCATACTCTGAAAAGTGGCCGACGCGGATATAGTAGATAGTAGATATTGTGGATAGATGATACTGTGGCTAGTGGATAGTGTAAATAGTAAATGCTGTGGATGGTGTAAATCGAGGATTGTGTGGATTGGGATTTGTGTGCATATTGGAGACTGACAGTTGCGACGTAAACTCCACCCCTGTCAGTGTAAGCTCTGCCAGTGACCATGAACAAACTATTTCAGTCGCTGGTAAACTTGTGTTTTTAACAGTCAATCCCGAAAAATAATTCCCAGTACATCGTAAAAGTTTCCAGGCTGTTTTAATCAAATGGCTGTTGAATTAAGCTTACTTACCGGACTGGTGTAGGGCAGAGCTCACCTGTCCACAGGTAGACGAGGTCGAATGTGGCCGTTATGCAGAATTTACCCACCATGGCTACTACCGTTCTTGCAACTGCATCTTCTGTTGATACAAACAAAAATATATGAATAACTGTCAGGCAGAGACAGTACTATGCCAAGGCTGCCTACGAGAATTTTGGGGCTAAAACAAATATTTTGAAGTCCAAAAAAACCCCACATTTTTATGCAGTAGCAATTGAGTCATTTTAAATTTCCGATCTTTGAAGAGCTTCAATCTCGTTCATTCATAGCATATAATTTAATCATGCTGTACTCTCGCCAGCATAATGAAATTGGTGCCGCCACATTTAAAAGAGTAGGGTCTGATGAGCACTGCCACCTATAGGGCCTATGTGGAACACCTAATCTAGCCCAAGCTACCTATCCCTAACGAAGTCCCCATGTGCTGTTACCTATGAAAATTGTGGCTACGCAGGCAGCGCCCCCTATCAGCTCCAGGACGACCATGTTGATCTTGCGGCCGAAGAAGCGCGCGCTGATGGTGGCGTAGATCACGCTGGGGATCTCGATTGCTCCGAAGAGGAAGAAGGTCCAGTACTGGTCGAAGCCAAACGACTGCGTGCTGAAGGCCAGGCCGTAGTACACCATGCTATTCGTCATCCTGAGTAAACCCGTACGAACAGAGACACTCGTGAACCGATACAAGTGGACGTTATGCACAAAGAAGCCATTTCCGATCTTCTTCTGCTAATCTGTGGCATAATGTGTAAACTTTTAATTTATTCATACGTCTAAGAATGGAGAGATACTAATTAAACAGTAAAATTTAAATTCATTTTATTGCTTTCATTCCTAATTTCGAGTTTCAAAAGTGAAGAGTTAACCTCGCTTTCAATTTCAACATAGTATAGCCAAGAATAAAGTTTATAACGACAGCAGGGTACATGAACGAGCTATGGAGATTGAAAGGTTCACGTTCAAAAAATTTAAATGGACTGACGTGTAGATCCTGCCAGAATCAGCAACTGCAGAAGTATCTGACAAAGAGATTCAGTGAAATTAGTAACAACTCACCAGTTGAACTGCAATATGAGGGTCCTGAAACACAAGTTGGGGGTTCGATACAGATCAGTGAATGAGGGCACGTGTCCCTTAGAGGACTGCTCACAAAAGAAAAATAAAAGAGTGGATAGGCTAATTATTGATAAGTCTTGCCTGGGCTACTAAAAATTAATTCCATTAGTCAGAGTACAAAGAAGTTGTCATTAATAAGGGCCCAAATTGTAGCATAGGAGAACAACATTTTTTAACGTTGCAACTTTGGATAACCCTTTGCTTGGTAGTGCTTCAGTCAAGAATACTTTAATACCGTAAATTCTTTCCAAAAGGCCGGACACAGGCATCATCATTCTTAGGAAGAGTGTCAAAAGCACATTTTTACACAAAGGTAGTCATATTCTTTCAAACCAAGAGCAGAATTTTACACAAAGGTATTCATATCCTTTCAAACCGTGTAGAGGCGGGCAACTGCCGAAAAGAATCTCGTTCAGAAACACATGTGCACAGGGCATTCGTCTCACCTTGTAGCTTTCGATCTCCTTCTCGTCAAAGATCTTCTCCGGCAGGGTCTTCTTGTTCCACCTGGCCACTTTTCTGATGACCTCCTCGGCTTCCTGCACTCGGCCCTTGGACAGGAGCCATCGGACGGATTCGGACAGGAATCTGGGAAGGAATAAGCGGTTAGTACCAGGGATCTAAAACCTATTGACCAACAACATCAGATATAATGTCAAGTGAGGTGCCCTTTTCAGAACTTACAGGCAAAACAATATCTCATCCACGACGTTTATTTATTTCGGGCTGTACTCAGAACTATGGAAATGAGCTTGTGGCAAAACGTGACAAACCTGTCTATGAAACACTACTTTGCCCAGTTAAAGTTCTAACGTGGCACATTGATTTCCTCCTCTAGCGTTAGGTTCATTATTGGAGACCAAACTATACAGAAGCTGACATTATGATAAAGTCACTTGAATGACCATTTAAAAGAAAAAAAAGTTGATTGACAGCGCCCCCAGAACAGCTTTTTCCAAACAGAACTATTCAAAACCAAGCAAATACTTTTTAAAAGACACTAAGCTGATGCTGTAAAAAGACCAATTGGAATTAATTTAATACCTTCAAAATGACAGTCGCATAATCCTGTACACATACCGAGGCGTATTTGAAGGTGCACGACGGATATGGACAACACCCGAAGTGTCCAAAGCTAATTTTTGAAAAAAAAAAAGATCTTTGCACAAGGGAGTAAGCGCACAATTTTTGATAAACGCCTCACGGAAGTGACGTGCATGAAACAGTATACCCTGTTGTAATAAAGAAAACAATACGTCTGAAACAGCCGACCCCTACTTACATCACCAGGAACACGCTGAGGAAAAGCGGAACGATGGGTATGAAGGCCAGTACTCGCCATTTTCGTATTGCCATGGCAACGAGGCCGACAGTCATATATCCCAGCGAAAAAGACACTCCTATGAATACCCCGGCCACAGTGCGCCATTTGGCTGATACGAACTCATTCACTGAAAAAAATCCAAAGACAGGAGTCAAAGTAAACATTTCAAATTCGTCCTAGATCCTGGACGGTAACGATCTCTCCGAGATCCACTTCGTTACCGCCTATAACAAGCAATCCAATTGTATCGTGTAATTCTAATTGTGATTCTCAATGTGTATTTCGTGTTTTCCTGCACACAAAGTCACCTTAAATACCTTAAATCTTAATGGACAGTTTTTTGGTACATATTCATTTTACCAGGTATAATATTAATTGTTTTTGGGTAGGCTGAGAGGATGTGATTGTTGACCTGCAAACTTACAAATTGCACGACAGAAAAGCCCGTTTTATGATGCGAATTAAGAGGAGATGGGCCTATCCGAAGTTAATCCAAGGCATCATTTTTTGTGAGGAGGGGACGATTTGTTCTCAATCACTCGGCATGTTGCGCCCTTTACTGCTCAGGCGCTGTTTGGATAGCAGTCGGTACAACGTGTTCGCACTCACCCAGAACGTATGCAGGGATCCAGCGACCCAGCTGCCCCGTTCCAGTGATAAATCGCACAATGTAGTAATGCCAGGTGGCGCCTGTGAAGGGCGTGGCCAGGGCGCCTAGAAACCACACCACCATTGCCAGCATCAGCGATTTTTTACGCCCCCACCTGGGGAAGGAGGGAAAACACTTTCAAATCTTCGTTGGCTCTTGGTCCTTTAAACAGTTAATTTCTGGCTGCGTCCAACAAGGTTTGCTTCGGCTACAAATAACACACACTTGTATGGGAGCCCCCAGAAAATGGACTCCAGCATCTCCCGTGGGCGCATGTGATTGTTACAGAAGGAAACTCAGGCGTCGCTGAGGAGCCGCTGAGGATTGTGAAGCAGCTCATTTCCTTCGTCACTGCACAATCTTGGCACAAATTCAATATGCACGTGGAAATTCTGACCTGTGCTACTATGTACACAAAGCTCCCTTTAAATGTCGAACTTCTGTCGTGTACGTGATATCAAAATCATCGCCCAAAATTTGCTTTAGATGCGGCAGAAGTCAATGCTTGAAGACATCGAAAAACTGCACACATATTAATAGATCGTGTTGCCTGAAGAAACATTAATGTTTTGCAAAGACATTACAAGCTTGAGCTCTCTGCACAGCGCGAAATATAGGATTAAAGTTCAAAGTCTTCAATCGGGATTTCAGTGACGCATTGTGACTGAATAGACCTACAACATAATGACGTAATGCAATGTTTACCGCGGTGCATTGTGGGTGAAAGGTGGGGATGTTGCAGGAACGCGTCAACGTGAAAGGTTATGTGTAACGTGTACTATATGGCGCGTGTATCGACCTGACAAGAAGAGAATTAAAAAAATTAAAAAGTCCATATGAGAATAAATAAATGGCCTTATTTCTCACGAAAACCTGTCACCTTTTGTGGTCCCTTGGAAGTTTAAAAACGCAGCTCTGGTGTTCGTTGAGGGCTTGATAAACACAAAGGAACACAGCAGTTCACATTGACCATTTCGGACGGTAATCGGGGATTTTTGTATTTTGTCTTTTTCGTGTCAGGTCGATACACGCCATTTAGTATACGTTACGCATAACGCGTCACGTCGACGCGTTCCTGCAACATCCCCACCTTTTACCCACAAGGCAACGCGGTAAACACTGCATTACGTCATTATGTTGTAGGTCTATTTAACATGTCAAAAAGTCCAAAAGAAACCCTATGTCATAAAATAAAATCAGGAGGCAAATGGTGGTATTTACAGGGTAACAGTTTCGTAAGTAATAGGTGAAAATGTATTTAAATTCACACTGGAACCAATTAACAAGAAGACGCCATTATTGTGGAGTTAAAAGATAAAAATTCTTCAACCAAACACAGCCTTAGCATACCTTACCGCTGTATTTATCTTCACTTGAAAGCAAAGAGATGCACAGCAGGCATGGCGAAAGCTAAGAAAAGTTATCTTTGAAAACTACATTTGGCAATCTATTGCCGCTCAAAAATAAAATTGAAACTAATGGCAAATTCAAAGATTTCTAGTCTTAAAATTGGACGGAGTTATTTTTAGACCGCAAAATTCTCTAAGCAAGAAATTGTGGTACAGAATATCAAATGAACGCGGTAACAAAATTTTAATCGAAGAGGTGGTGGGACCCATCACTAAAAAGTGAATGTGTAAACGGATATGGTGAAAAGATTCCTTTTCTGTTAGCTGACTTGTACGTACGTACGACATATTATGTCGTACTTAGTACGACGTATGATCCATAACTCTTCGCACAACTTAGATGTCATACATATTTGTTTCACAATTCAAATTGACTTGAAATATTTTTTACTCACCAATCGGATATGACGCCGAAAATAAAAGAGCCCGCCATGAAGCCGCCGAAATAGACCGACGTCATGATGTTGGTCGCGTCCCCATCCTCACAGACAAGTTTCCACTGACAATATGGAAGCAACAACGATGAACTAATTAACAATGACGACTTTACACCTTTTATGTCTAGTTAGACTCACGAGCGTACTGACTGCAAAGAAAGGGGAAATTCCTGGCATGTAAATGTCTCTTCCAGATAGCAGCTGTTTATTGCATTGCATACATTCTTTCAAGATTTGTGCTAAGATTTGACCAAGAAAATACACATGTGCAAGGGCCTGTATAAGGCATTATACATATACCTGTATAGTATATAGGTTATATAGGTTTCTCCCTATGTGGAGTGACTCACAGATTGTCCAAATATCAACTGGTTTAAAAAAGCAGATGGATACATACCACGATACCCCTTCCCTGGTTTCAACTCGAAATTCCTCACCTCATTGTAACAGCAATTATACGTACGTCCATGATGATGGTCGTCTCATACTGGCTCGTGTTGAACTCCCATCCATTCTTGCACGCTACTTTGGAGGCATTGTAGTCGGTGTGGTTGATGTAAGGGTTGAATTCCAATCCCTCGGGCAGGTCCCACTGGCGGCAGTTGTCGTAGTAGTACGGGTCTTTCTCTGGGTAGTTTTCGGCGGGCGGAATGCTGACTCGCTTCACGGCCTCTGTGCACTCCTCCGGCGTGTTCAACCCAAACGCGGTGCAGTTAGGGCTGAACGTCTTGCACCAGTGGTCGCTCTCGCCGGCGTAGAAGGCGTGCTGCAGGGTGGTGAACGCCCCCAAGTAGTTGACGAGGTTCAGGAAGAAAAAGGCGTACCACTGGTACCTTCCGAACCCGCCTAAGATCTCCAAGACCTCGTCAAATTTCATCCTAAGCGGCGATTATTTCCCAACAAATTGTCTATAAATATTACCATGCAAACACGTATTGACCCTAGCTCTGCTCTTTTCGCCCCTTCGGAGGCATGTTTACCACCTCATTTTCCTTATCATATCAGCTAGCAATAATGAAGTTATAGTCCTTCTGATCCATGGAGTACAAGCAAAGGTTGAAGCCAAAGCAAACAAACATTGAACCATTTCAACTTGAAACTGTGTGTGCAGGTACGGCACTCAATTCACACAGCACCATTAATTGAGGCGGCGAACAGTCTGGACCTGCAAACCTTGAACCGATCTTTGATAATGTTGTTATATAGAGATATCATTCAATTCTATTATGGCAACAAGTAAGCAATAAGCTTAAGCAATAAGGTTTAAGTGTCTTCAACTACGGAGCGCCGTTCCTATCTTCGGTAGCCCTACATCGTCAGTTTCGTTAATTCACCATATCCATCAGCAAATTCATCGTTCCACTCGCCGATTCCGTCATTCGGTGCGGTAATGTCACCTTTCCACTCAGCGATTTCAGGATTCTGTTCGGCGATTACACCATTTGATTCTGCTTTAATTTAGGTCTTTTGATTGTATAGTTTCGTTACTTGGTTGTGTAATTTCGCCGTTTTGCTGTCCAGTGCGGCAGTTTCGCTATTACATTCTTCAATTTTACCATTCTGTTCTACAAATTTATGCATTGCATCGATTTTTATCTTTCTGCCCTGTAAACTCATTATTTCATTTTGCCTGATTCGTCGAAAACGAATTCCTAATTCGTGAAAACATTATCTCATTTGGCAAATGCATGCATCATTGTACTTATTGATTTTCCTCGTTTGCAATTATTCGATTCCCTACGTCGGCACAGGTATTCGATTTTACAGTATTTCGATTTTCATTGTACTCGGTATTAAAACTCGTCGTGCCGAACTACAAACCATCACCCTGTTCTGTAAGTTCACTATACTGTGTTTCGTTTGTTCTCTCGATTGAAGTTACCTTAGTCTTGCCACAAGACGCTGTGGCTTGGTAACGGATCATGCACAATGTGCGGTCTTACGACCCAGCAATGAACCATTTCGGTATTTCAAAAAAGCTCCCGGGGGGGGGAAACCTGCTTGTCCCCTCCCAATCAAGTAGTGAATAAAAATAGCAAGTGTTAGTCCTTGCTGGTTCGTTTTATATCTTTCACTCTATTAGTACAAGGTAGCTGAGATCCTAACGTGTAAGGTACTAACGTACTGCCCTCTAGAAAATAATTAAAAGAGCTCAGCTGCAAACTGTATACCCACGTCACTGGTAAGAATGCATTGATGTGAAATAATCCAGATGGCCTGCTTAGACGTTAATGACACAATACCTGAATGTAGTTTTATTTTCTCCAGATCTGGAGAATTGGGTCCGAGTCTACAGTGACAAGATCACACTATTCTTCAAAATCTACTGGTATTTCGTCGAGTTACCAAACAATTAGGCCAAACACTGATGAAGGGGCAATTCTTGTCGAACCTCTTCGGTTTTTCGTCCATAGCACGCTAATGACAAAAACGTCGCCACAACCTCAAAGTACCCGAAAAAGCCGAAGCGATATTTTTGGAACTGGAGTTTCTCTGCGCTGGGCAGCATAAACGCGCCCAAGACCGATCTTCAATTCGCCCAACTGACTCGTAGTTGCAGGTCCGTTACCAGCCCAATAACAACGAAACTGATCTAAAGCTCTCCACTCTCGATTAAATATCATCATGAAATATTTTATTTTGTGCGTTAATTGTGCATTACATGTATTGTGTGGCCGTGATATAAATATATTTTTTACATATTTTATGATTGGAACTCAAGTAATCCGTCATTCGTGAAACCTATACTAAACACCTGAGTAAAGAAGCTTCAATGTCTTCTTAATAGCAGATGGCCTGGACTGACACAAAATAGAAACCCCTCTTGATCAGCAGAACTGATGTCTTTTCATGTCTCATTCAAAGTCAACAATATTGAAGTGTTAATATCAATTCATTTTAATTCCATAAAAAATGTAGAGATATCCAAGTTCATACAGATACACTCATACATACCATAAACCTCTTTGGACTCCAAGCGTGAACAAGAGAGGGCGTTTTTAGCAATAACATCCCGTGTGAAAGCCATTTTACTGGTGTTTGCTCGCTACCTAGAGTTTGCTTATATGTGAATATCATTCCCTTTGAGACGGCTTCTGTGTCAGAGTCTAAGGGGGCATAGTAATAGCTGTATTTACAAGAAATTTTCAAACTTTTTCTGCCAAATGTAAACTTCAATAGTAACCACCTCTCGTTCATTTGCAAATAACCATGTAATTTGTCTAATAGGTTAATGAAACGAGAACTATTTCTAACATGCAGAATTAGAACCAATTCATATTTTGGAGGCCTTGAGCCTCATTTAAACGAATGGTGACTTACTTTCACATAACAAACCGAAAAGGATAAATAACAGTCAATGGTTAATTAGATTCTTCCTTAATTAAAAATATTGCGTGCCAGCAAGTCACGGCCCGAAGGTACTTATTCAGTGTGACGCTGTTTATACCTCGTAATGTTTTTTAAATTTTCATTGCTCTTTTCTTTGTTAGTTGAAATTAAATGTTAAAGCCTGCTCCAACTAACAATAACGCAATGACATACTACATAAAATATTAAGCCTTTTTCCCGACAATTATTGAGATCACGCATCCCTATAAAGGACTATTTCGCCTGTACTCCGTCAAGTAGCTGCCACCTCAACGAATAAACTCTTTAATATCTCACCATCCACCAACTCACCACAGTACACCACTCTCACCATGTACTCCATATCCGAGACAATTTAAACATCAAACTTGGCGACCCAAAAGAGCAAAAACTTCAAAGATAATGAAAAGAAGGGAAATATGGGGTCCAGCCTTGGCAGCACCGTTTCGTTTGCTTGATTTAAGAAATCTTTGCCTACTGTTTTATGGTTTGATGAAAAATGTATAATTTTCTCACTATGTATTGGTTTAATCTCACCAATAACATCTCCAAAATTATCTACTTCTACTCATCTTTGCCGCTTCCTCTTCCAGTATCGCTTGAATCTCCACCTGAGCCACTTGCCTTGCCGCCACCACCATCATCTTTCTCACCACTGTCTATATCACCACTGCCTACCTTGTCGTTACCGTCAGAGAGATTTTCGCTTCCTCTATCATCATTCCCGTCTCCAGCATCATGAATACTGCCACTCTTACCACTAACATTATTCTCCTTATCACCAGCTTGATTACCTTCGTCAGAGGCTTTATCACCCCCACCATCATCACCCCACTCACCACCGTAACCACTGCCACTATCGCCACTGTCGTTTACCTTTTCATCACTCTCTAAGTAATCTTTACTTCCTCCAGTTTGATTCATTTCGTCACTAGCCTCATCAGCACCACTTGAAGTATTCTCTCCATCGCTACTAACCCTATCATCATACTTATTGCTCTCAGCAACATGACCCCCACTCTCACGAGCTTTGTCATCAACATCTTCCTCGGCGTTATCACCACGACTTTTGCTGGCCCTATCACCACCGCCACGATCAGTCCCATCCCCTCTATCACCCTCTTCTGCACAAGGTCTGTCACCCACGACCGGCGCGGTTTCGACCTCGGGCAGTGATCCTTTGTTGATTCCTCTTTGACCCTCTACCAAATCCTCGACTTTGCCCGGTGTATCTGGTGACGATCCTTCCACAGCGGCGTTGCCCTGCATCCCTGGCCCGGGCACGGGGCCGTTCTCCTCCTTTGCTTTCTTCTTCTTCTGCCTTGGTTTCTTCGAGATTTGGCAGCCTTTCTCGTTCACCGCCTCGTAAGGTGGGGGAGGTCGGGCAGTGTAAGCGTAGTCATCGGCGTCAGGCACAAAGGCAGGGTTAAGGACGTCTTGCCGATATACGTCCATGTCTACCTCCTCGACTGACGAGTCAGTGTCACGATAGCGGTTGCGACCCCATGTCCATTTCTTCATGAAGTTAAACCTGAAAATCCAAATTTGCCAATTATTCTCTGTTGGTATTCAGAAAATATCAGTTCCTTACATACATTTTTTATTATTGCAAAAGATAATTTTTAAAAAATTACAACAGCACGTAACACTAGCAAGTATATCAATCATCCGTTATTTCTGTTCAATAAAACTTTGAACTTTTCCGGGTTTGAAAATTCATTTTGAAAAGTATTTCCAGGGTTAACAATCTTAATATTCATCGCCATCTTTCGTTTTGGTGTGTAAATACAGCCCCTAATTTCAGCGGCCTAGTTTAGACTAATTCCTGTTCACTTCCATCGGTGATCCTGTGGGGGTTGGGGATTCCCCCCTCCTCTTCAAAAAAAAACAACAAACCACGGTGTATGTTTGGTAAAATAATAAGAAAAGGGCAAGGGGGCTATTTTATTATCCTCCGGCCAATAGCTTATAACCCTTCCCCCAGCCTTAAATGTAGCCTCATCTCCTAGAAAGGCCATAAAAGGTAACGTAAAAAAAGGCCCCTTTTCCCTTAAAAAAATGATGCCAGCTGCCGCGGGAAAAAAGGGCCCCTGCCTTCAGCAACACGTAGGCCCATGAAAAAGACGAATACTTCAAGAGACATTCTAACTATCAACCGTACCTGAAAGACGAATACTTCAAGAGATATTCTAACTATCAACCGTACCTGAAAGACGAATACCTCAAGAGATATTCTAACTGTCAACTGTACCTGAAAGACGAATACCTCAAGAGATATTCTAACTATCAACCGTGCCTATCTCAGTCGCACTCACTGCCCTGACGTTGGGTGGAGAGCCGCAGTGTAGGTTTTACAAAGTGGCGGATTGCAACTCGAAAAGCCTGAGTTCCTATTGGATAACTTAACCTGGGGAGTCTGTAGACAGACAACTGCCAAAGAGCCTACAGGAAGACGGGTCAATCAGACAATACCACTCACTTGCCAAGCTCCTCCCCATCTCGCATGGTCTCCGGGAGCTTCCTGCCTTTGGTTTCAGGCAGCGGGGCGAGTAATATTCCCGCTATCACCGCTGCCGCACCGAAGACGATCAGGTGCAGGTCGTCGGTGATGTTCTCGTCCTTGGCCAAGTTCAGGATGAGCGGGGCAACGATGCTGCCCACCCGGGCGGTCATGGAGCATAGCCCAAGCGCAACGCTCCTTCATTAAAGAGACGCCAAGAGTTTATTACCAGTTGAGGCTACTGTCACATCATTCACGATTCCCACTGTCTCAATCAGCACTCTACACGGCCTGTCGTGGGACACGCTGAATGGGATTTAGTATAGACCACTCTCATTTCGCCTATTATACAACTTGTATGGACGGCCAAAGTTTGCAGAAATTCACCTTTTGGTTGTTTTTCCATTTTACATCCAATTCATTGAAAAGAGTCAAAATAGACCTCTGTAGCATTAATTTAACTAGGCTTGGTTTTTTTATTTAGTATTTAGTGGTAGGTGATTATTATATATGATGTTCTGATAGCTGCGTGATTTTTTTCTTATTTTTGTACCGACGGCCGGCCATAGTTTAAGCAGCTACCTGTAGATAAGGCAAAACTGTGATGTCAGAAGAACAGAGCCCAATAGCCGTAGCTACGCCAAGCAATGGGTGGCACATTATGCTTGAGCGTCAGTGCAAAATATTCAGAGAGAATTTTTTTAAAATCACGAATCAATAAAAACGCAACATGAAAAAAACTTAGTTGATAGTGGATGGCGTGGATAGTGGAAGTTGACCACTAAGACTTAAATCTCATATCATCCCCCCAGAGTGAGCTCCTGACTGCAATCATATGTAAACAGTGTTAGTCGCTTTGCAAACAGTGTCCTGCTAGTTAAAAAGCAGTCCCTCAACTGGACATCATGAAATTTTAGTAAGCTTACTTACCGGACTGGTGTAGGGCAGAGCTCACCTGTCCACAGGTAGACGATGTAAAATGTGGCCGTTATGCAGAATTTACCCACCATGGCTACTACCGTTCTTGCAATTGCATCTTCTATTGATCCAAACAAAAATATATGAATATATAGAAGTGCGCTTCCAAGAGTTTTCAACGCGTTTGCCAATCACCGTGCGCGAAGTCTTTCTACCCAATGCGCGTTTGGAAAGGGTAAACAGATTCCGCGCGTTGTGATTGGGCAACGCGTTGCAAACTCTTGGAGGCGCACTGTTGTGAATCGCAGGTATTCCCCCAACAAGATGGCAATTTTTCGAGTAAACCGGTACATAACTGTGGCAGTACTTTTGGTAATATATTACTATATATTAACAGCCCACTGCTGCTCACTAGTCTTTCATTCAGCATCGTGATAAGAGTTCGAGGCAAGAAGTCCGATGGAAGGGCCGCTGTCTTTCAAAACGACGTTCACAATGCACTATTGACTCGGTAATTACTTATGCATGTACAATTATACTTAATCCAGCCCTAGCTCACACTCTCTTGAACGAAGTCCCTACGTGCTCTTACCTATAAAGATAGTGGCTAGGCAGGCAGCGCCCCCTATTAGCTCCAAGATGACCATGTTGATCTTACAGCCGAAGAAGCGTACGCCGACGGTGGCGTAGATCAGGGCGGGGATCTCGACCGCCCCGAAGAGGAAGAAGGTCCAGTACTGGTCGAAGCCCAAGGACTGCGCGCTGAAGGCCAGACCGTAGTACACCATGCTATTCGTCATCCTGAGTAAACCAGTACAAGTATAATGTACATAGAAACACTCATGAATGAATCTAAAAATTTGCCATATGAGCCTCGAGCGGGACCAAGAGAGGGCACTATTTTTTTCGCAACGGGGGCTCCTTCAGTCGAAGCTGAACGTCGAAGCTGCTGGTTCACGAACGACTAGTCACAGTCACATCGCTACCGACAAACTTAACGCAGCTCTTTTCACTTGCCCGAGGCGGCTAGGGCCAATCTGCTTGACTACAACCATATCCTTGGCTCTGCACCCAAACCTCCTAAAATCACCGGAAACCTCTGAACTGTGCAAAAAGAGGCACACTTAAGGTACAGCAACCATGTCACGTGAATTTAAAGAACTAAGCGTAGCAGATTTTATTCAAATTTTAACTTACAAAAGGCTTGTTACTCCCGTATAGACTAATCCGATTAGACGCCATAACTGCGGTGGCACCGCACTCACACGCACATTCTTCAGCTTGACGCGCGCGTGCGTTTAGCAAATCACGACACCCTATTGGTCGAAAAAGCATGTAACGCGCGCATACCACCTGTCCAAGAGCGTTGTGCCGCCGCAGTAATGGCTTCTAATTCTGGTGGTCGAATTACACAATGTGGTACCGAGGCTTTTTGTGTGCATACCATTCCCTCTCAAGTGTATTTGACAGCGGCTGCGCCCACGTGGTTGCTGGGGCGAATTCAGGGTATCCAATAAGGGTGATTCACAAAAGTGTGCCTTCAAGAGTTTGCAACGCGTTGACCAATCACTGTGCGCGGTATCTGTCGACCCTTTCCAAACGCGCATTGGGCCGACAGAATTCATGCATTGTGCACTATTGTGAATCGCACGTATCGAGCTGAAAGATCAACGTGTATGTAGCTAGGAATACACACAATCGATTGACGGCTCAGTAAACACAGAAAACATGTATGACCAACATAGTTTTCGGTTGTTCTATTTCGGTTTCTTCAAGTCTGAAACCAAGTCCCCTCAAGTCTTAAACCAATGCTAACACTGAATCTTAATCTGAGCCTGACTGAAAAAACCCAAACCATTTAAATCTACAGCTTCATTTTTCATAAATCAGCATAAACAGAAGAACAAATGGAATCAGTCTTGTCTCCAGTCTCTTCTTGTCTTAGGGTTTCCAAAAGTATGAATATCTATGAAGCTCTTTGTGGCCGGTCTAGGGAGTAACGCTACAGTTGTACACGCTTTATGAAAACAATATTAAATACACCGAAAATTGCCTTTCTTTCATTATAAGAAAGCTTTTTGTCCTTTTTTTCGGGGAGGTGCTAGGGTTGATATGGCTTCTTTTGTCCCCCATCCACTCTTGTACAAACATAAGGAACAGTGCAGCAACGGCCCTGACAACAACAGCCACAGTACAAGCTGCAGAGGCAACTGCAGGAGCACCTGCTAAATGTGTCTAATGAATTTAAAAAACTACTCACCAGTTGAACTGCAAGATGATGGTCCTGAAACACAGGTTGGGAGTTCGGTACAGATCAATGAACGAGGGCACGTGTCCTTTAGAGGATTGCTGAAAATAAATGAAAAGGCAGTTAGCACATCTTTTGCTACAACCTTCCTTGGAGGAGTTGAACAAGGCATTCTACTAGTCAGACGTTATAATAATAATAACAATAATTTATTCATTCATTCATTCATAAAGCATACATTTCATACAGATATGTTCAAATGCGCTGCACAATGAAGACATTAAACGCGGTTGAGCCAATGGCATACAAGGGCGTCTTGGGCAGCCCCCCAAACGACCCACATCCACCTACATCTACAGAAAGGAGGCCATAAGAAGCAGTTGGACTTTTGGAGGTGGGAGGAAAACCACAGAGAAGAAATTTCCGGGGGAAACCCAGGAAATCATTTAGGGGCTAAAAATACAATCCACATGTTGATCAAGCTGGGAATTGAGCCCGGACCGCACAGGTGAAGGATGAGGAATGAAGCACTACACTACCCTAACTCCCCAAGCAAAGAAATTATTATCGGTCTCGGCCAAAATTCCAATAAAACGAGAACGCGTGAAACAGATATAATCTGGCCTGCAACTACTGACTTAAAATAAAGTCTAGAGTTTCATCAATACATCATAAATACTGCCTGTGGCACGTGAGGAAAGTTAGCCCCGAAAGACACACGCATCATCAACCTCGGGAGGGTGTTAAGAAAGAAACAAGGTAGAGGGGGCTTTTGCCTTAGTGTGTCCTTCCGAGGAACACACACACACAAACGCCTTCTATTCTTGCCTTGTAGCTTTCGATCTCCTTCTCGTCAAAGATCTTCTCCGGCAGGGTCTTTTTGTTCCACTTGCCCACCTTCCTGATGACCTCCTCCGCCTCCTGCACTCGGCCCTTGGACAAGAGCCATCGCACGGACTCGGACAGACCTCTGCGAGAAGGAAGACACTGTTAGCACGCCGTGCACAAGTACCCCCTCAACTTTGACAGTGAGAGAGGCAGGGCTGGCGCTTGAACGCCATTGCTAACATAAGATTGCTTCATTAATTTGATAACTGAGATACAGAGGACAAGTAGCCGCCACTATCAAGCGAAAAAGCAATGAGGGTTTTTTGAAGTTAACATATAATATACTGACAAATATCCACCATGCACAATCCAAATAGAGGGGCGACATGGAGTGCTCTCACAGAGGGCAGGTCTATATTCCTGTGTGATATACTTGAGTAGACCCTTTAGCACTTTATTGTCATTAACATCTAAATAACATACATGTCCTCAGTGAGGGCGCTCAATGCAGCCCGTCTATTCCAGTTTGCACCCCACCGCGGCAAAAGGCCAAATTCGTTCAACAGTCATAATGTCGACCACTGGTCCATTTTCACTGCATTCCATGCACAGATAAAATCGACCAGCCTCTATTGCTGCTGGGCCTTGGTTCAGCGATCAAGATACGGCGCGAAAACTGTGGAACAGCCACCAAAGACGTGCCCGTGACCTTATAACGGAATTAAGTGGCGTACGTGACACAGTAGGGCACAGTGCAAATCCTGCTGTCTGAAACATCCGACTTTTACTTACATCACAAAGAACAAGCTGAGGAAAAGCGGAATGATGGGTATGAACGCCAGTACTCGCCATTTCCGTATTGCCATGGCAACGAGGGCGACAGTCATATAGCCCAATGAATACGTCGTTCCAATAAATATCCCGGCCACAATGCGCCATTTTGCTGATACAAACTCATTCACTGAAAAAAATCAAAGGTAATAGTCAAAATAAACAAAAATTCATTCATCCTAGATCCTGGTGCGGCTTTTCCTGTGCCATGTTCGTTACTGCAATAAAGAGAAATCGATTTGTAGTGTGCAGTCTATAATTTGGATCTTCAACGTGCATTTCGTGTTTTACTGTTCACGGTAAATACCACGCCCTACCCCCCAGAGTGTGATGATTCTTTATTCGTTTTGCTGGTTATCACTTTTGCTGTTTTAAGGTAGGGTAGATGGGTACCGGTTTTTGCATTATTTATACAACTTACATGTACACCCGTGATAACATTTTTTTGAGGGGACATTTTTGTTTTCAGTCATTTGGCATTGTGCGCCGTTTTTGTTAAGGCATGTCATGTGTTTCCACTCACCCAGAACGTATGCAGGGATCCAACGACCCAGCTGTCCCGTTCCAGTGAGAAATCGCACAATGTAGTACTGCCAGGTGGCGCTTGTGAAGGGCGTGGCCAGAGCACCTAGAAACCACAACACCATTGCCAGAGCCAGCGCTTTTTTACGCCCCCACCTGTGGACAGAGGGAAACTTATCTCTGACTCCATTCGCTACTGCTGGAAGTTGAACTAACTAGGGCGTCTATGGAAGCAGCCAGATGGAGGATTCCTCCATTTTCCATAGATGCAAGCGCTATATCCATATCCATATTCGGTCTTAGGGTCAGATCTCTGCCTCCATCATTACTCCCACAACTTTCCTGCAAGTGTCACGTGCTGGTGGAAGTTCTAACCACGCGCCACTGACGTGCCACTGCTTACAAAAAGGCTCACTTAATACGTTGAACTACCATCGTGCCGTCAAATATACATTATCACCCAAAATTTAAATTAGACATGGACGAAAATCAGCGTTTGAAGTGGGCCACTAATTGTAAACATGCAGATAAATTTTCCCTTGAAGAAATGATTACGTTATTCGCCTAGAAGACCTCAAACGAGCCCCAAGCGCAGGGCAAAATATAGGATCGAATTTTAAAGTCTTCAACGACTGCATTCAGCGACATGCAAAAGCTGCTTGTGGATACCACAGTTTTGGTAAGAATGGTATGGGAAATATCTATTAAACCATACCCAGGGGTGTTTAAAATCCAACTTGGACAAAGGGCTTTGGAAAATATTTGCTGGTTATCAATTTATAGAAAGTGAAAAATTACTTGACCTAAAAGAGAAATATCCTGCCAAAAACTTGACCCATCACTTCCGAAAATCTAAGATACATAAGTAACAGTCCAATGCAGCGGTCTCGCACGCAGATGAACATTTCTGGTTTGAAATTGTGGTAGTCTGTCGGTAAAAGCTGAACTAAAAACAGATATAAATAATTCACAAACTGTTCTGATATATAAGGTAATAAACTTAAATCAACAATCTACTTTTACAAAAGATAATAATATCTTATTTAACCTTTGCTGACAACAACTGCATTATGTTAAATCCACATAACATGGAACCCATCGACTACACGTTGGTAAATCTTTCCATTTTACAATCTCAATTTCATATAAACGCGGGTGACAGAAAACAAACGTACATAAACAAGGAAACCTAGGTACGATATCGCCGGATGTGAAAGGTCGTTGATGAAATTCGCTTTTTTACCCATTTCCATTTGACTTTTCCTAGATCTTAGTTGAGGAGGACAAAGGTAAAATTTCAACATGAGTGTTTCATGGGGTGTTTTCAGTTTAGGAATCATTCTTCTAAAACTTAACGAACGTGATAGAACGGCCTAATGTAAAATCCCCACTGGCGGACCGCGCGAGGGTTCCGGAAGCTTGCTGAGTGACCTTTTACTTCCAGGCTCTATTGGGAAATTGAACACTCTCGATAACGCGGCTCCTTTCAATCGATGAGGGGGTACTTCTACTCGAGGCAGATAAGGTGTGTTAATAAATGATAATGAAATTTAAAATTACGTGGGGTAAGGCTAATTTTTGACTGAGTTGAACGTGGCACAAACAACCCTTTGTCATAAAATAAAATCAAGAGAGAAATGATAGCTGTCATTATGGTAACAGTCCCATAATTTTAATCGATGAGAATTTATTTAAGGTCGTGACGTGCAACATAGGCCCACCCATCATCACCCATCATTTGAGATTGATCTTCAAACATTGGACCCAATTGACAGCAATATAATGCCAGAGTTGTAACTTTTAAGGATACAGTTATCCTTAACCAAACATAAACCCTAATTATCCTTACATTTATATATATTTTTATCTGACCTACCAAGAGATATACAACAGACATGCAAACACTTAAAAAGCCAGTTATCACTGGAAACTTCATAGATGTTTGCTGAGCTGCGCGGCCATCGACTAAAATTAAAACTGCATGCAAATCTAAAGATATTTAGCACTGAAACTGTACAAAGTTACATTCTGACCATATAGATTTTCCGTGTGATAAATTCTGGTTCCTATAGTAAACATAATTATCTGCCAGGAACAACATTTCAATCGATGAGGCGGTGAGGCCCATTGCCAAAGGTAATGTAACACTGATATCTTACCTGTGCAAAGCTGTATGAGGGACACAATGAAAAAAACTCGTAATACGTTTGTGATACTTAAATCTCGTACGTCTTTATATCTCGTGCGGCCGATGCATGATTTATACTTATTTCAGCGGGCGACTTATATTTGTACGCACAACTTATGAATCATTTCTCAAATGTGGGTAATTCTGGAAATTAGGGGTATCAAAGTATGGCATTTGTGTGGCCCTGTTACATCTGACCTTGGTTATTTGGCGTGGAAATATCACCTGAACTGATTTCAAACTATTACTGTTTATTACTCATCACTCTTGGAAATTAGAAAACATGTGCCGAACTTACAAAATCATATGTTAGATGTGACAGGGACACACAAAAAATAAACCCCAAATTTCTGGAATTACACTAAAAAAACTGGGGTGTTAAATTTAACACCCGCGGTGTTATCAGAAGACTACATCAACACTTTTCGCTGGTGTTATAATTTTGGTGTTATTTGGTGTTACTTGTAACACCTACTAGTGCACTGTAACACTTATAAGGTGTGCAAACTAACATCATCAGTGTTAAAGTAACACCCTATGGTGTGGTCATCTGATAACACTCAAAAGTGTTGATTTTAAAACCCGAGTTTTTACAACGTACCCATTTGCGCCTTACATGTATGTGTGCTACTAAAGGCACCCGTTTCACGTTCTATGGTTCTCAAATCGTTTTCAGTTGAGGGAGGGTCGGTCAGCCGAATCCCCCCACACAAAAAAATCCATGCTGCTGTCATACAGATGACTTAATAAACCAGGCAAAATGTCCTTGTCACTTATTTTTATATTGAAGAGTCTTCGTTTCTAGCTGAGTACAGAGAAATATTTTTTATTGGTTCATAACACAATACATGTACTTCGTTCGCGTGTGTCACCACACCGTACGGGTGTGTGTGCGTGCAGTGTGCATCTTTGGTTTTTTCCAATAGCGCTCCATCTGTAGGGCACTGGGTTCGGTACGGTACCGCTTGGTCTGGTATAAATGCCGCGCATGTAAATTTTCAGCGCTGTCTTTTGAGGCCACCATAACATCTCCTACTTTTTATAGGCAAAGTCCTCTCAGCAGGTTTTTTTTTTAGGGAGCGTAGCCAAAATGGGGACCCGTTGGCAATGAGAACCACAGAATTTGATAAATAGTGCGCTCATGGACAGAAACTCTGAAGTACGCATTGTTGTTCAAAATTCACTTGTAACTCGAAAGAGTATTCACTGACCAATCGGAGATGACGCCAAAAATGAAAGAGCCCGCCATGAAGCCGCCGAAATAGACCGACGTCATGATGTTTGTCGCACCTCCGTCCTCACAGACAAGGTTCCACTGACAACATGAGAGCGTCAAGAGTGAATTAATTTACAAAGAAGAATGTACGCCATCTCAAATAATCATAGGGCATGATTTAAATAAGACAAATGTCTCATAATTTTACTCTTTATTTCAATACACAATCTACCAATCTGAGCGGGCTGATTGTTAAACATCGCCAGATTATTCTGCAAATATACCCCCGACGTATTGGGAAGAAATTCCCATTTACCGAATGGATCAATCCTCATTTGCATAACGCTGCCCCATTGGATATCAACTCAGAAAGGAATTGCATAATTATGTTTTGGGCCGTTCCTATACATGAATATCGGCTCAAGATCGTGTCTGTCAGGTCTTAAGATCAGAAATCGGCCAATTTATGTCACCAATCTTAATTTATCTGAACCCCCCCTCATACTATTA